AGAGAAAATAAGAGAGAGAATGAGAGAAAGATAAAGAAAGAGATAAAAGAAAGATAGAAAGAAAGAAAGATAAGAGTAAGAAAAGAGAGTGAGCGAGAGAGAGAGCTTCCACCACTCCCGCCCTCGTGTTGCAGCCCACCGGTCACCACCCACGCCCACGCCGCCCTTAACCGGCTTTCATGCCGCCCTCGGTTGCATTGCGGCTTACGAAGGGACACTTAATGATATATTGATGAGGATAATGAAGATATTTATGGCGCGAATAAAGCTGTTAGTAACAAGACAAGAAGCAATGATGATGGTACAAAGAAATAATGAAAATATGGAAATGACTAAATATTTGTTTATTCACATAATCTGTAGATTATGTAAATATAATGATACACACACATATATACATTATACATGCATACATATATATATATATATATATATATATAATATATATATATATTTATTTATTCATATCTATTTATATAATTAAATTTGAGGCATATGAAAATATTCATGCTCGTGTATTTATAAATATGCTTAATGTTATGCTTTATTTTTTCCAATACATTATTGTCAATCGGATTACCTTTGTCTATCATTGGGTCTGTTTGTGCCTCGGTCTTTGTTTTCTTTTCCTTTCTTTATATATATATATATATATATATATATATATATATATATATATATATATACATACGTTTGATTTTCTTTCTCAATCAATCTTTCCTGTTTTTTTTTCTCTCTCAGTCGCTCACCCTTCTCCCTTCTCTCATGAACATTTCGGGAAGCAACTCATTATGCTTCACATCCAAGAATTAGAAGAAAAACTGACAGAGGATTTTAGATTCTCCTTTCCAAAATTGTAGCTTTACAGGGGACATTGACATCAAAAGAATTCCATGTTTCATCTTTATTTGTCATACAATGAGGTTTTGCTCATTATAAGCCGTGCTGAATTACACTCATATTCATAAAAAACAACAAAACAAATCAACTTATTTACAAATAGATTTTAAATTCATTTACCTAAATGACAGTGTAGGTGAATAAAAGAAAGGATCTTTAACCATTTAAAAAAGGTTGAAAATCATATGATACATTTTGATACAAAATATGAACCAAGAGAAAAAGTCGACATCGTTTCTACAAATGGATGCCAAAATACATATTAGAGAGCATATCCATAAACGGTAAACAACTCTTAGACTTGCATTTACGTTTAGTCACTGCGAGTATGTCAGAAAGTTCCTTAGGAGTTAGATTAGTGTGTGAAAGTATCTACGTGTTCAAGGTATGTACGTTTTATGTTTATGTGTTCATATTCAAGAAATATAGAGCATCAGCATGAGAAATATATCAGAAATATATAGTGGCCCTGAGCAACACGTGGCTCTCTCAGATTTTTCAATGCTTCCAGATCTTCGACGAATCATTGACCACTGAAAATAGTGTAAGAATCAAGGATAAGTAACAGATTAAGCTGAAATGATCCCAAGTGCCCCAAACCGCGGTTCGGTCGCTGAAAAAGAGGGAATCACCGCATATCAGAATAGCTTTCCATTTCATCAGCAATGAAGGTTGGCAATCTGCATTTCTTTTGATTAATCATTGAGTAAGGGTCCTTTTGTTGAGAAAGGTTGCACGCCCTAGATATAATGGGCATGGGAAAGCTTCCGAAGATGAATGTGCCTTAAAAGTTTGATAAGAAAATTGTCTCTGATTAATACTATGGCGGTGTTCAATTGAGCGAAGACGTGCGATGTATGAACCATTCCGTTCTTTGCCTCAAGTGGACTACAGGCAAAGGGAGACAAGCCCAACGAGCAACAGAGATGGTGAAAATCCACTCCAGTTCGAGTCCCGTCCCGAGGTCAAGATAAATAGAATCTATCTACTTCTTGGTGATGGCGGAAGGCATCTCTCCCCTTCCGCCTCCGTTGCCGGTATCTGCGCCGTCGCCGCCCTTGATGCCTGAGCTGTACATGGTTGCCTTGTTGGTGGTCGAGTCTGTGGAGGAGGCGTTCGTTAGGATTCTCAGTGTGATTCAGTCAAAGGGGATTAGTCTTGGGATTATTCTGCATGCATTGTTTTGTTCTATCGATAGAGGGATGGATACTTAAACGTTGTTGTAGCCGGTTTAATGTTCTCTCGGTCTCTGTCTATCAGGCTCTGTCTACCTGTATGTCTGCCTGTTTGTATGTGTCTCTGTCTGTCTGTGTCTCTGTCTGTCTATCTGGTTGTCTGTCTGTCTCTCTTCGTTCCCAAACAACTCCATTATCAAATCTCATCGAGGTTCTTCCAAGATGAGCCACAGGCTTTGTGCTCATCGAAATTACCCTTCGTGTATTTTTTCCAAAGGACAACTCAGAGCAACGGATCTGACCTGAATTATCCTGGCTCTTGTCCCCCACGCAGCCCTTAGGGTCGGAATCCTTATCGAGACCTGAGGTATTAAGGGCTGCATCGCCTCTTGTTGCTGGACGTCCTGCAGAGACAGTAAAAAGAT